AACTGCTTTGAGGTCACATCTTTTTCAGGCCAACATTCAGCGTTCTTTGTCGGCGGCCACCCAAGCTTTCATGCGATGACGGCTTGATGACCGCTCCGTGTTATGCAAACGATTGCACATGATCACAAACACATAGGATGAAGTGACGTCGATGTATTCCAGCAATTCGCTCGTACGAGTTGGCAGTAGACTGGCACTTGCCGAATAAAGGCCAGAACCAATGAAACAATCAGGGCCAACGAGGCTGTGAATCAGCGTATGCTTGCGTCGTGATGTGCGGTGTAGAGCGCAATTTTTGTGGTGCTCGGATGCACGACTGAGATGAGGCCTCGGTAGCTCAGTTGGGAGAGCGTCAGACTGAAGATCTGAAGGACCCTGGTTCGATCCCGGGTCGCGGCACCTTTGCACAACCCTGCCGCTTCCTTCATTCCTCCATCTTGTTCCAACTTATTATGCTGTACCAGTAGCATGGTGCTTTACAGTGGACCGGTAGCATACAATTAAAGTCCGGTAGGTGTGCGTACAGTATGCTTGAGAGACCAACTGCTTTGAGGTCACATCCTTCTCAGGCCAACATTCAGCGTTCTTTGTCGGCGGCCACCCAAGCTTTCATGCGATGACGGCTTGATGGCCGCTCCGTGTTATGCAAACGATTGCACATGATCACAAACACATAGGATGAAGTGACGTCGATGTATTTCAGCATTTCGCTGATACGAGTTGGCAGTGGACTGGCACTTGCCGAATAAAGACCAGAACCGGTGGGGCAAGCAGGGCCAACGAGGGTGAGAATCAGCGTATGCTTGCGTCGTGATGTGCGGTGCAGAGCGCAATTTTTGTGGTGCGGGGGTGTGCGACTGCGATGAGGCCTCGGTAGCTCAGTTGGGAGAGCGTCAGACTGAAGATCTGAAGGTCCCTGGTTCGATCCCGGGTCGCGGCACCTTTGCACAACCCTGCCGCTTCCTTCATTCCTCCATGTTGTTCCAACTTATTATGCTGTACCAGTAGCATGGTGCTTTACAGTGGACCGGTAGCATACAATTAAAGTCCGGTAGGTGTGCGTACAGTATGCTTGAGAGACCAACTGCTTTGAGGTCACATCTTTCTCAGGCCAACATTCAGCGTTCTTTGTCGGCGGCCACCCAAGCTTTCATGCGATGACGGCTTGATGACCGCTCCATGCTATGCAAACGATTGCACATGATAAGAAACACATAGGATGAAGTGACGTCGATGTATTTCAGCAATTCGCTCGTACGAGTTGGCAGTGGACTGGCACTTGCCGAATAAAGGCCAGAGCCAATGAAACAAGCAGGGCCAACGAGGCTGAGAATCAGCGTATGCTTGCGTCGTGATGTGCGGTGTAGAGCGCAATTTTTGTGGTGCGGGGGTGTGCGACTGCGATGAGGCCTCGGTAGCTCAGTTGGGAGAGCGTCAGACTGAAGATCTGAAGGTCCCTGGTTCGATCCCGGGTCGCGGCACCTTTGCACAACCCTGCCGCTTCCTTCATTCCTCCATGTTGTTCCAACTTATTATGCTGTACCAGTAGCATGGTGCTTTACAGTGGACCGGTAGCATACAATTAAAGTCCGGTAGGTGTGCGTACAGTATGCTTGAGAGACCAACTGCTTTGAGGTCACATCTTTTTCAGGCCAACATTCAGCGTTCTTTGTCGGCGGCCACCCAAGCTTTCATGCGATGACGGCTTGATGACCGCTCCGCGTTATGCAAACGATTGCACATGATAAGAAACACATAGGATGAAGCGACGTCGATGTATTTCAGCAATTCGCTCGTACGAGTTGGCAGTGGACTGGCACTTGCCGAATAAAGACCAGAACCGGTGGGGCAAGCAGGGCCAACGAGGCTGAGAATCAGCGTATGCTTGCGTCGTGATGTGCGGTGTAGAGCGCAATTTTTTGCGGTGCGGGGGTGTGCGACTGCGATGAGGCCTCGGTAGCTCAGTTGGGAGAGCGTCAGACTGAAGATCTGAAGGTCCCTGGTTCGATCCCGGGTCGCGGCACCTTTGCACAACCCTGCCGCTTCCTTCATTCCTCCCTGTTGTTCCAACTTATTATGCTGTACCAGTAGCATGGTGCTTTACAGTGGACCGGTAGCATACAATTAAAGTCCGGTAGGTGTGCGTACAGTATGCTTGAGAGACCAACTGCTTTGAGGTCACATCTTTTTCAGGCCAACATTCAGCGTTCTTTGTCGGCGGCCACCCAAGCTTTCATGCGATGACGGCTTGATGACCGCTACGTGTTATGCAAACGATTGCACATGATCACAAACACATAGGATGAAGTGACGTCGATGTATTCCAGCAATTCGCTCGTACGAGTTGGCAGTAGACTGGTACTTGCCGAATAAAGGCCAGAACCAATGAAACAATCAGGGCCAACGAGGCTGTGAATCAGCGTATGCTTGCGTCGTGATGTGCGGTGTAGAGCGCAATTTTTGTGGTGCTCGGATGCCCGACTGAGATGAGGCCTCGGTAGCTTAGTTGGGAGAGCGTCAGACTGAAGATCTGAAGGTCCCTGGTTCGATCCCGGGTCGCGGCACCTTTGCACAACCCTGCCGCTTCCTTCATTCCTCCATGTTGTTCCAACTTATTATGCTGTACCAGTAGCATGGTGCTTTACAGTGGACCGGTAGCATACAATTAAAGTCCGGTAGGTGTGCGTACAGTATGCTTGAGAGACCAACTGCTTTGAGGTCACATCTTTTTCAGGCCAACATTCAGCGTTCTTTGTCGGCGGCCACCCAAGCTTTCATGCGATGACGGCTTGATGACCGCTACGTGTTATGCAAACGATTGCACATGATCACAAACACATAGGATGAAGTGACGTCGATGTATTCCAGCAATTCGCTCGTACGAGTTGGCAGTAGACTGGTACTTGCCGAATAAAGGCCAGAACCAATGAAACAATCAGGGCCAACGAGGCTGTGAATCAGCGTATGCTTGCGTCGTGATGTGCGGTGTAGAGCGCAATTTTTGTGGTGCTCGGATGCCCGACTGAGATGAGGCCTCGGTAGCTTAGTTGGGAGAGCGTCAGACTGAAGATCTGAAGGTCCCTGGTTCGATCCCGGGTCGCGGCACCTTTGCACAACCCTGCCGCTTCCTTCATTCCTCCATCTTGTTCCAACTTATTATGATGTACCAGTAGCATGGTGCTTTACAGTGGACCGGTAGCATACAATTAAAGTCCGGTAGGTGTGCGTACAGTATGCTTGAGAGACCAACTGCTTTGAGGTCACATCTTTTTCAGGCCAACATTCAGCGTTCTTTGTCGGCGGCCACCCAAGCTTTCATGCGATGACGGCTTGATGACCGCTCCGTGTTATGCAAACGATTGCACATGATAAGAAACACATCGGATGAAGTGACGTCGATGTATTTCAGCAATTCGCTCGTACGAGTTGGCAGTGGACTGGCACTTGCCGAATAAAGACCAGAACCGGTGGGGCAAGCAGGGCCAACGAGGCTGAGAATCAGCGTATGCTTGCGTCGTGATGTGCGGTGTAGAGCGCAATTTTTGTGGTGCTCGGATGCCCGACTGAGATGAGGCCTCGGTAGCTCAGTTGGGAGAGCGTCAGACTGAAGATCTGAAGGACCCTGATTCGATCCCGGGTCGCCGCACCTTTGCACAACCCTGCCGCTTTCTTGATTCCTCCATGTTGTTCCAACTTATTATGCTGTACCAGTAACATGGTGCTTTACAGTGGACCGGTAGCCCCATTTTTCAAAATTTTTTTTTATAAATCTTTATACATTGTCCTATTTTAATACCACTATTATCGTTTATTTTATACACTTAAGTCCGGTAGGTGTGCGTACAGTATGCTTGAGAGACCAACTGCTTTGAGGTCACATCTTTCTCAGGCCAACATTCAGCGTTCTTTGTCGGCGGCCACCCAAGCTTTCATGCGATGACGGCTTGATGACCGCTCCGTGTTATGCAAACGATTGCACATGATAAGAAACACATAGGATGAAGTGACGTCGATGTATTTCAGCAATTCGCTCAGACGAGTTGGCAGTGGACTGGCACTTGCCGAATAAAGACCAGAACCGGTGGGGCAAGCAGGGCCAACGAGGCTGAGAATCAGCGTATGCTTGCGTCGTGATGTGCGGTGTAGAGCGCAATTTTTTGTGGTGCGGGAGTGCGCGACTACGATAAGGCCGCGGTAGCTCAGTTGGGAGAGCGTCAGACTGAAGATCTGAAGGTCCCTGGTTCGATCCCGGGTCGCGGCACCTTTGCACAACCCTGCCGCTTCCTTCATTCCTCCATGTTGTTCCAACTTATTATGCTGTACCAGTAGCATGGTGCTTTACAGTGGACCGGTAGCATACAATTAAAGTCCGGTAGGTGTGCGTACAGTATGCTTGAGAGACCAACTGCTTTGAGGTCACATCTTTCTCAGGCCAACATTCAGCGTTCTTTGTCGGCGGCCACCCAAGCTTTCATGCGATGACGGCTTGATGGCCGCTCCGTGTTATGCAAACGATTGCACATGATCACAAACACATAGGATGAAGCGACGTCGATGTATTTCAGCGATTCGCTCGTACGAGTTGGCAGTAGACTGGCACTTGCCGAATAAAGGCCAGAGCCAATGAAACAAGCAGGGCGAACGAGGCTGAGAATCAGCGTATGCTTGCGTCGTGATGTGCGGTGTAGAGCGCAATTTTTGTGGTGCGGGGGTGTGCGACTGCGATGAGGCCTCGGTAGCTCAGTTGAAAGGTTGTCTATATTACAATAATTTAGACGATGTGGCTTTCCAACTTACCTATCATGTTCTGTTCTGACGTTTAGTACGTTCTATTTATACGAAGGGTGAGGCGCGGACGCCATCGATCGGAGTTGCTGTGATTCATATCTGTCGAAACCGTACCATTACAGGTTGGTAGTGGACGTTGTTGTGCAGAAACAAAAAGTGGAGGACATCACTGTGTGGCGGCACAGTGCAGGTGAACCCCAAACACCAGGACCCTAAGGCTTAACTTCCGTCCCTGCCGGGGATCGAACCAGTGACCTCTGGGATGGTACCGCTTTACCTTCCCGCTCGAGCCACTTGCAAACGTGGAAGTCGGCCGTAAATTCAGTGTCCATATGCGTAAAGAGTCCGGGTAAAGAGTAAGTTTTCATCACGCGCACGATCATGAACAAGGCCGACAACTGGTCTCGCTCGTAAATATGTCGTGAATAAAACCGGACGTGCGCCTCCAAAGTCGTGAAGATGGCTGACAATGCAGGGAGTTCCGGCGTAGGCAACCGTCCATCAAACAAGCATCGATTGCGGTCTTTCCAGATAAAGTGAAGAGCTGCCGTACGAAGAGCATCCCAGATATCGTGAATGGCGCCCACATGAAATTTCCACTTACCGCGCAAGCGCATTTTTTTTCGCCAAAAGAATGTCCAACCATGTCGGCCTCGTACGAAAGAAGGGGGACATCACTTGATTCAAGTGACCCCACAGACGTGACGCAAGAGTGCAGTCGAAAAACAAATGTTGCTCTGTCTCGATCGCATTGCATCCATCGCGCACACAATACTGAATACGCGGGTTCGAAGCGATAAGAAACCAAAATCGAGCGCGCAATGGCAAAAGACGAAAGGTCACGCGGAACTGCAGGTCTTCAAAGACAGGAAGCAGGATCTTGCGCAAATGCTTACCATGCTTGATGAACGAGGTGATCTGCTCATCGTCGACGTGTCGCGAGTGCGTAGTCATGGGATGCGGTTTAGCTGGCATCACAGGCTGCCAAACCACACCGAGAAGCGCGGTCCGCGGAATTGCAGGGACTAGAAATGTCTTTGTACCAATCGTGCAGCCCAAGTAGGGAGCCACTTGAGTTAAAGGAGGCGAAGCGGGCCATACGATCGAACGTGCATTCAGACGTTCAACAATCTGTGTCGTCTCCTTGTAAAGCACGCGCAACCACTTGATTTGGAGACCAGGGGCTGTGGACAGTAGCGTGAAGTCCATAAGACGCGAAACAAAGTCTGTCTGAGACGGCCAGGAAGATCCACTTCGCACAAAGTCGGAGAGCGATCGGATGCGAAAGACTCTGGCGATATGTAGGCGAAAGCTCCGCTAGGGTTCCGGGACCATCCCAATGCAGCGGCGATGCGCTTGTCTGGTACAACTCCGTGTTGCCCGTTCAAAGTACAGATCTGGGTCCGCATGATACCAGATCGGCTGGTGAAGGTTATATAAAACGCGATCGCCGGAAGGTAAATCGCGTTGCGTGATGTCCCAGCGGATCTTGTACCACCAAGTCCACGTCACACGCCACCAATGTGAAGTCAGTCGCCAGTTGATCATCTCACCGTGACGTAGTGGGGAGATGGTGAGGAAGTCGAGTGCGTGGCGGTTGCCAGTGCGAAAAAGAATTAACATGAGAACCTCAGAGCCTGAAGTGGTCCAATTACGCTCACCTTTGGCAGTAGCGGCAGTGATGAACTGCAGCAATAATTGGAGACGCTGACGTTTGAGCAGAGCCTCGAGGTTTGGGATGCCTAGACCCCCTTCGCTTCGTCGCATGTATAAGAATTCATGTGAAATAAAAAATGAGCCGCACGGATGAAGCGTGACGGTCATGTTTACGACTCAGTACAAACTTGTTCAACATTGACTGCCACCTCTTTACCACTGCTGCGGGAATCGACGCATGTTGTGTATAGTGTCATAATCCAGAGAGGACCATAGTTTGAGCTATCAAAAGCCTGCCACGAAGCGTTCTTGCACGCCGGTACCAAGCCTTAAATCCATCGTAAAAGCGCTGATCAAGGAACTCCACAGTTTCATCATTATCACACGACTGGCTGACCAAGATTCCGAGATACTTCACCGGCTCCATGCGACCGAGCACTTTCACTCCTGGAAGTATCGGACAGTCGTGATTCCTATTAAGCGCCAACAAGACAGACTTCGATAAATTAAGCTTTGCACCAGATCCACGGCAGTACTCATCCACAAGCTCAAGCTGCGCTTGTATGTTCGTGATTGAGCTTCCCAGAAGTGTCGAGTCATCCGCAAAGAACGTGCTGGTGCAGGTGTGATCCGCGCTCACACACACGCCATATTCTTCATGAGACCGGAGAAGGTTTCCTAGTGGTTCAATCGTCAGTACAAAGAGCAGCGCCGACAGTGGGTCCCCCTGCTTGACGCCCCTCATCGGAAAAAGCGCTGGCTGGATGTTCTGGTTGATCACTAGGTGAGCTTGCGGTTTATGATACAGTAGGTGAATCCACTGGAGAAACTCCGCGCCGAGTCTTATGCGCTCGAGCAGTCGAAACATGTATGTCCAGTTTACGCGATCAAATGCTTTTTCAAAATCCAAAAATAAAGCGTACGCGTCGTCATCCATTGCCGTCACGAGATTTTGTAGATCCGCAAGAAACCGAACATGATGGTGTATCGAACGGCCCTTGACAAATCCCTTTTGATCAGGATGAATCAGGTCCATAATGACGTGCTGCAGCCGGTACGTTAGAGCTTTGGAAAGCACCTTCACGTCAACCTGCATGAGTGAGATGGGTCGGTAGTTTCCAGGGGAAGCACGGGATCCGTTCTTGTGTAGTAGGACTACCGCTGATTTGCGCTGCGATGGAAGCAGTGTACCGTGTAGTAGGCGATTGTTAAACACAAGGCTCAAGCATGCGCCGAACACATCCGGAGCCACCTGGTAAAATCCAGCCGTCAGCCCATCCATACCCGGCGCTGACGTGGACTTCATGTGGCGAATCGCTGCCGCCAGGTCCGTAGGTGTGACCGGAGCATTGAGAATGACATGATCAACATCGGAAACAACGCGGGTGATCGAGTTGAGCAGCTTTTGCTGCATCACGTCGTCATGAGGAGGGGCTGTACCGGTCGGGCTGCATGGGTCTCCCATCATTGATCCCCAGTGCTCGAGAAAACGGAGAGAGATCTCGAGCGGGTTCTTGGAGACACCTCTGCCTGGTGTGTCCACTTCTTCGATGGAGACTCGCCGCAAGGTCGTGTCGACCGGACGAAAGAAATGGCGAGTAGACTTCTCAGAGTTGGCCACTTGGAAGTCAAACGACTTGTCTTGATTGTGCCGGCTCTCCCAAGTTACGATATCCTTGTAATTTCGGAGTGCCTCATTAAAGATTTCGCGGTCGGAGACGGCTGCAGACACACGGTATACGGACGCGGCCCGGTCAAGCTGACTTCGAGCTTCCAGTACTGCTTGCGAGTTCTGCTGCCGGAGCTTCGCTTGAACATCTTGTAGTTGACGCTTGATGCGGACCTTCCATTTCTCCCAGACCTTGCCCGGGTTAGTAGCGATACGCAATTGCTCAAGGACCATGTCAGCCTCGTGCTCGATGGCCTGTACAACAACTGGATACTCCAGTAAATAACGCGGGAACTTCCAGTAATTGTGGCCGTGTAGCTGCTCTCCTGAATGCAAGAGCAAACTTTGGGCGAGATGATCACCCGCATGCTGGGGTAGGAAGTACTTGGAGTCACCGTAGAAGCGCGTGCAGAAGTCGTCCGATAGTAAAATGTAGTCCAATCGAATTCTCCGGGGTAGGGGGCCAGTGAAGACGCGCTTGGTGTCATGATGTATCCGCCAGGCGTCAACAACCCCGAGCTGTGACAGCCACTCGAGACAGCTTAACCGTCCAGGGTCATGACGTCGGTCGGATGAACAAGAGTCGAGACGAGGATCGAGCGGCGTGTTGAGGTCTCCCAGCACCAAGTGCGTCGCGTGGTCCTCAAACTCCGCCGTGTCCAATTGTGAGAAGAATTGATGCTTCTCGCGGCGATCAACAGGGGCGTACACATTGTGGATGTAAACAGGAGAGTCCTCGACCATTAACTTCACGACGAGATAGCGACCCTGGACCGCGACAGAGGGAACTATCATGGCTGTATCAAAGCCAGGGAAGTCGGAGCGGATCATTGTGAGCACTCCATTGCACCGACCACGCGTGGGTTGATGCAACAGAGAGTTAGGATCATCCACAAATACCTTGTTCGTAAAGCTTGAATCCATGTGGAATGTGAAATTGGAAAGATGCGAGCTACAACCGAACTTGGTTTCTTGGGCGCATGCCAATGAGTACTTGGAGAGCATTTTCTCGATAAAGAGGTGACCGTTATTCTTGATGCCGTTTGTGTTCACGGTGAGAACACTCACGTTGCTCCATGGAGCGGTGGAAATCTCGGAAACTTTAGCAGCGAGTGGCGAGGTCGCTCGCGACCATCACCACGTCACCATCCACAACCCGGAGTTGGAGAACCGAAGAATCATCCGGGTAGAATCCATCCAGCGTCCGGAGCGACTCGAGGTCATCAATAGGTGACCTTGCCACTGCACTTCTCGCCACTGCTGTATACAGAGGGACCCGAGGTCCGAACGGAGAAGCCGGAGGAAAGTATTCGGGTGTAGGAGTCTTGTGTGGTGAGCCGGAATCCACTTGACCGGCTGGCCCGTGATGTACTGGATCCAGTGGTCGTTCGTGAATATTGTCGGCGCAATGGACATGAGAGTAAGCTCAAAAATTCCCAAGGCTTTCGACGCACGAGACAGTTCAGTGATCGAGGCGGACGATGTCCACCATTTCGCGCACATTTTAAAGATATCACCACGTTTCGACGGGACACTCGATCCCATAAGCTTTTTTTTACTTCGCGCTGAATGTCGTATCATCTCCGGGGCACGTAGCACTGAAAACGCGGTTGTACGTGCATCTGAGCCAGCTCGGCGATCTCGTGACCATCCCCGGCCATCTTGAGAGCCATAGTGCTATTGAAGGCAAGCGGACACTCGATGGCTTTCTTCGTGGTATGGTCAATGTTCGTTGCGTTTTCAAAGAGCTTGCACACACCATCCACCTTCGTGTCCGCCTCCGCGAGACGATCCGGAAGGACGCTAAAAAGCGCCGTATTCTCATCATCGAGCATTGCTTCCGTTACTGCCATGATAGGGGTCGCCTTGAAGGCCTTCTTGATCTTCGTATGGTGCTTCTCGACGAAGAAGGCTGATTCAGTCGAGGTCTTCATCGAGTCTGGACGCTTCACATCAACCGGAGCCACATGGTACCGGACCCCGTACGTCTTGTCCGCCGTCACATTCTTCGATTCAAACGTGACCGACATCGACTGGAGAGCCTGGAAATAGTTGGCCGTCGCAATACCGTCGAGAGGGGTCGGCTGTTGCTTGACCATGAGGTTGGAGAAGTCAGTGGCCTTGCGCGATCTCTTCTTCTTGTTTGAAGCGGTCACAAAATTGTCCTCTGGTCCGTTGGTCAGCAAAAGAAGCTTCTTTGGCGCTTTCGGACTACTAGGAGGGGAAATCTTGCCGTTGGAGTCGTTAAATGACGAAATTGAGAGCGTATCAGTGGATGTTGGTGGCACTTTAGCCAGTTTGCTGGCAGCAGAATGCTTACCATGCTGAGCACCACGGTGGGGCTGAGAAGTCCTGGTTTTTGCCTCCTCGACTGCTTTCTGCAGAGAAGTCAATTGACGAATTGGCGTCGCACGGGCTGCTTATGCGTACGACTTCGAGGGGATCGACTGCCTCGGTAGAGAATGCGAAGACGATGTGGGAGATGGAGTTGACCCAGCCGCTGTTTCCGGCGGTGGAAACTGGCCGTCAGTCGTACCCAGGTCGAGACGGTGGTGTGAGCGGTAGCCAAATGGCAGTCGATCCGACTGGTACGGTGCGTTCTTGCCGTGCGCAGGGTGAAGTTTGTTGTCGAAGAGCACCTGATCGCAGACCAAGCCATTGATCATCAACGCACTCGGACACGTGGTGGAAAGAAAGTACACACGCCACGTCGCGGACGTAAGACCTGTCGCAAGGTTAACGTCACGGAAAGTGTCGTACACGGGCTGGCATCCTAGCTGGAACAAGCGCTGCAGAATGAGATCCGTGGGAGTATCGGAGTCAATGCTTGAAATGTCGATGAAGTACTTTGCGCTCAGTACGTCAAATTCCTTGAACAGGAAACAACCAACAAGAATGTTCACCTTGGTGCGTCCTAGGAGTAGACATGCTTCCTTCGACTTGACCTTGACGCGCAGGTTGCCTCCAGGGAGCTTTGAGATCTGGCCGATCGCGTGCGACGCATAAAGACGCTCAAGAACGTCACTACCATGGCTTTTGCCAGTCAGTGACGCCATGATCTTCTGGAGCGGAGTCTTCGCGAAGGTCCTTCCGGTGTCAATCACCATGTCGTACTTGGCACGTGGCAGTTCGTACGGACGCGCCTGGTCTATGCGCATGGCGATGAACGACCAGTCGTTGCCAGCGGCATACTGTCGCTCGATCGCCTCGATGTCGCAGGCGAGGGGTTTTGGCGTCTCCACACGACGACGAGCAGCATCTTCTTCAGCGTTGTCACGTCGAAGGCGCTCGTGTCGCGCAATCACATCCGCCATCGTCGGTCTCGTATCCTTTCCACGCGATGCGACGCCGATATGAGCGGACGGAATCGCAGATTCCATCGGATCATCCTCCTCCAGAGTGCAGAGAAGAGACGACGCAGGTGGGAGGGAAGGGGTATCCTGAAACTCGTTGGGTCCATCCGGTTCCGAAGGATCAAGTAGAGTCGATTCCGTGGAAAGTTCCATGGTTCCTGACGTATCCGGGTCAACGTCCAATCGGACGCCAGAGCTCCGAGCAGACGAAAGATGACTCGTGTGCTCGCGAGGTAGAGACGAGGCAGAAGCTGGATTTTTCATGGAAAAAAAGAGGCAGACAAATCTTAGGAAATAGGGTTCTTCTGAATGAGACGACGTATTAGGAAGCCGGCAAATTGAAAAGTGGCCTCGGTAGCTCAGTTGGGAGAGCGTCAGACTGAAGATCTGAAGGTCCCTGGTTCGATCCCGGGTCGCGGCACCTTTGCACAACCCTGCCGCTTCCTTCATTCCTCCATGCTGCTCCAACCTTTTATGCTGTACCAGTAGCATGGTGCTTTACAGTGGACCGGTAGCATACAGTTAAAGTCCGGTAGGTGTGCGTACAGTATGCTTGAGAGACCAACTGCTTTGAGGTCACATCTTTTTCAGGCCAACATTCAGCGTTCTTTGTCGGCGGCCACCCAAGCTTTCATGCGATGACGGCTTGATGGCCGCTCCGTGTGGTGCAAACGATTGCACATGATCACAAACACATAGGATGAAGCGACGTCGATGTATTTCAGCAATTCGCTCGTACGAGTTGGCAGTGGACTGGCACTTGCCGAATAACGACCAGAACCGGTGGGGCAAGCAGGGCCAACGAGACTGTGAATCAGCGTATGCTTGCGTCGTGATGTGCGGTGTAGAGCGCAATTTTTTGTGGTGCGGGGGTGTGCGACTGCGATGAGGCCTCGGTAGCTCAGTTGGGAGAGCGTCAGACTGAAGATCTGGAGGTCCCTGATTCGATCCCGGGTCGCGGCACCTTTGTACAACCCTGCCGCTTCCTTCATTACTCCATCTTGTTCCAAATTATTATGCTGTACCAGTAGCATGGTGCTTTACAGTGGACCGGTAGCATACAATTAAAGTCCGGTAGGTGTGCTTACAGTATGCTTGAGAGACCAACTGCTTTGAGGTCACATCTTTTTCAGGCCAACATTCAGCGTTCTTTGTCGGCGGCCACCCAAGCTTTCATGCGATGACGGCTTGATGACCGCTCCGTGTGATGCAAACGATTGCACATGATAAGAAACACATAGGATGAAGCGACGTCGATGTGTTTCAGCAATTCGCTCGTACGAGTTGGCAGTGGACTGGCACTTGCCGAATAAAGGCCAGAACCAATGAAACAAGCAGGGCCAACGAGACTGAGAATCTAATCAGCGTATGCTTGCGTCGTGATGTGCGGTGTAGAGCGCAATTTTTTGTGGTGCGGGGATGTGCGACTGCGATGGAAAATCCCCCCCCTCCCCCCTCCATACTTCTATTTTTTTTTTTTTTTTTTTTTTTTTTTTTTTTTTTTGGGGGGGGGGTTTTTTTTTTGTGTCGCCCCCCCCCTCTCTTTTTTTTTTTTCTTTTCCCCATACTCCTTTTCTTTTTTTTTTTTTCCCCCCCCTCCTTTGGTGGGGGGGGGGATAACTCCCAATCGCTGGATTAACGGGTTGGTGCTACGCCCCCCCGCCCCAGCCTGGACCACATTGCCTCAGTAGCTCAGTTGGGAGAGCGTCAGACTGAAGATCTGAAGGTCCCTGGTCCGATCCCGGGTCGCGGCACCTTTGCACAACCCTGCCGCTTCCTTCATTCCTCCATGTTGTTCCAACTTGTTATGCTGTACCAGTAGCATGGTGCTTTACAGTGGACCGGTAGCATACAGTTAAAGTCCGGTAGGTGTGCGTACAGTATGCTTGAGAGACCAACTGCTTTGAGGTCAGATCTTTTTCAGGCCAACATTCAACGTTCTTTGTCGGCGGCCACCCAAGCTTTCATGCGATGACGTCATGATGACCGCTCCGTGTGATGCAAACGATTGCACATGATCACACACACATCGGATGAAGTGACGTCGATGTATTTCAGCGATTCGCTCGTACGAGTTGGCAGTAGACTGGCACTTGCCGAATAAAGGCCAGAGCCAATGAAACAAGCAGGGCCAACGACGCTGAGAATCAGCGTATGCTTTCGTCGTGATGTGCGGTGTAGAGCGCAATTTTTGTGGTGCGGGGATGTGCGACTGCGATGAGGCCTCGATAGCTCAGTTGGGAGAGCGTCAGACTGAAGATCTGAAGGTCCCTGATTCGATCCCGGGTCGCGGCACCTTTGCACAACCCTGCCGTTTCCTTCATTACTCCATCTTGTTCCAACTTATTATGCTGTACCAGTAGCATGGTGCTTTACAGTGGACCGGTAGCATACAGTTAAAGTCCGGTAGGTGTGCGTACAGTATGCTTGAGAGACCAACTGCTTTGAGGTCACATCTTTTTCAGGCCAACATTCAGCGTTCTTTGTCGGCGGCCACCCAAGCTTTCATGCGATGACGGCTTGATGGCCGCTCCGTGTTATGCAAACGATTGCACATGATCACAAACACATAGGATGAAGCGACGTCGATGTATTTCAGCGATTCGCTCGTACGAGTTGGCAGTAGACTGGCACTTGCCGAATAAAGACCAAAACCGGTGGGGCAAGCAGGGCCAACGAGGCTGAGAACCAGCGTATGCTTGCGTCGTGATGTGCGGTGTAGAACGCAATTTATGTGGTGCGGGGATGTGCGACTGCGATGAGGCCTCGATAGCTCAGTTGGGAGAGCGTCAGACTGAAGATCTGAAGGTCCCTGATTCGATCCCGGGTCGCGGCACCTTTGCACAACCCTGCCGCTTCCTTCGTTCCTCCATCTTGTTCCAACTTATTATGCTGTACCAGTAGCATGGTGCTTTACAGTGGACCAGTAGCATACAATTAAAGTCCGGTAGGTGTGCGTACAGTATGCTTGAGAGACCAACTGCTTTGAGGTCACATCTTTTTCAGGCCAACATTCAGCGTTCTTTGTCGGCGGCCACCCAAGCTTTCATGCGATGACGGCTTGATGACCGCTCCGTGTTATGCAAACGATTGCACATGATCACAAACACATAGGATGAAGTGACGTCGATGTATTTCAGCATTTCGCTCAGACGAGTTGGCAGTGGACTGGCACTTGCCGAATAAAGACCAGAACCAATGAAACAAGCAGGGCCAACGAGGCTGAGAATCAGCGTATGCTTGCGTCGTGATGTGCGGTGTAGAGCGCAATTTTTGTGGTGCGGGGGTGTGCGACTGCGATGAGGCCTCGGTAGCTCAGTTGGGAGAGCGTCAGACTGAAGATCTGAAGGTCCCTGGTTCGATCCCGGGTCGCGGCACCTTTGCACAACCCTGCCGCTTCCTTCATTCCTCCATGCTGCTCTAACCTTTTATGCTGTACCAGTAGCATGGTGCTTTACAGTGGACCGGTAGCATACAGCTAAGTCCGGTAGGTGTGCTTACAGTATGCTTGAGAGACCAACTGCTTTGAGGTCACATCTTTCTCAGGCCAACATTCAGCGTTCTTTGTCGGCGGCCACCCAAGCTTTCATGCGATGACGGCTTGATGACCGCTCCGTGTTATGCAAACGATTGCACATGATCACAAACACATAGGATGAAGTGACGTCGATGTATTTCAGCATTTCGCTGATACGATTTGGCAGTGGACTGGCACTTGCCGAATAAAGACCAGAACCGGTGGGGCAAGCAGGGCCAACGAGGCTGAGAATCAGCGTATGCTTGCGTCGTGATGTGCGGTGTAGAGCGCAATTTTTGTGGTGCGGGGGTGTGCGACTGCGATGAGGCCTCGGTAGCTCAGTTGGGAGAGCGTCAGACTGAAGATCTGAAGGTCCCTGGTTCGATCCCGGGTCGCGGCACCTTTGCACAACCCTGCCGCTTCCTTCATTCCTCCATGCTGCTCTAACCTTTTATGCTGTACCAGTAGCATGGTGCTTTACAGTGGACCGGTAGCATACAGCTAAGTCCGGTAGGTGTGCTTACAGTATGCTTGAGAGACCAACTGCTTTGAGGTCACATCTTTCTCAGGCCAACATTCAGCGTTCTTTGTCGGCGGCCACCCAAGCTTTCATGCGATGACGGCTTGATGGCCGCTCCGTGTTATGCAAACGATTGCACATGATCACAAACACATAGGATGAAGCGACGTCGATGTATTTCAGCAATTCGCTCGTACGAGTTGGCAGTAGACTGGCACTTGCCGAATAAAGGCCAGAGCCAATGAAACAAGCAGGGCCAACGACGCTGAGAATCAGCGTATGCTTGCGTCGTGATGTGCGGTGTAGAGCGCAATTTTTGTGGTGCGGGGATGTGCGACTGCGATGAGGCCTCGGTAGCTCAGTTGGGAGAGCGTCAGACTGAAGATCTGAAGGTCCCTGATTCGATCCCGGGTCGCGGCACCTTTGCACAACCCTGCCGCTTCCTTCGTTCCTCCATCTTGTTCCAACTTATTATGCTGTACCAGTAGCATGGTGCTTTACAGTGGACCAGTAGCATACAATTAAAGTCCGGTAGGTGTGCGTACAGTATGCTTGAGAGACCAACTGCTTTGAGGTCACATCTTTTTCAGGCCAACATTCAGCGTTCTTTGTCGGCGGCCACCCAAGCTTTCATGCGATGACGGCTTGATGACCGCTCCGTGTTATGCAAACGATTGCACATGATCACAAACACATAGGATGAAGTGACGTCGATGTATTTCAGCGATTCGCTGATACGATTTGGCAGTGGACTGGCACTTGCCGAATAAAGACCAGAACCGGTGGGGCAAGCAGGGCCAACGAGGCTGAGAATCAGCGTATGCTTGCGTCGTGATGTGCGGTGTAGAGCGCAATTTTTGTGGTGCGGGGGTGTGCGACTGCGATGAGGCCTCGGTAGCTCAGTTGGGAGAGCGTCAGACTGAAGATCTGAAGGTCCCTGGTTCGATCCCGGGTCGCGGCACCTTTGCACAACCCTGCCGCTTCCTTCATTCCTCCATGCTGCTCTAACCTTTTATGCTGTACCAGTAGCATGGTGCTTTACAGTGGACCGGTAGCATACAGCTAAGTCCGGTAGGTGTGCTTACAGTATGCTTGAGAGACCAACTGCTTTGAGGTCACATCTTTCTCAGGCCAACATTCAGCGTTCTTTGTCGGCGGCCACCCAAGCTTTCATGCGATGACGGCTTGATGACCGCTCCGTGTTATGCAAACGATTGCACATGATCACAAACACATAGGATGAAGCGACGTCGATGTATTTCAGCAATTCGCTCGTACGAGTTGGCAGTGGACTGGCACTTGCCGAATAAAGACCAGAGCCAATGAAACAAGCAGGGCCAACGAGGGTGAGAATCAGCGTATGCTTGCGTCCTGATGTGCGGTGTAGAGCGCAATTTTTGTGGTGCGGGGATGTGCGACTGCGATGAGGCCTCGATAGCTCAGTTGGGAGAGCGTCAGACTGAAGATCTGAAGGTCCCTGATTCGATCCCGGGTCGCGGCACCTTTGCACAACCCTGCCGCTTCCTTCGTTCCTCCATCTTGTTCCAATCTATTATGCTGTACCAGTAGCATGGGGCTTTACAGTGGACCAGTAGCATACAGTTAAAGTCCGGTAGGTGTGCGTACAGTATGCTTGAGAGACCAACTGCTTTGAGGTCACATCTTTCTCAGGCCAACATTCAGAGTTCTTTGTCGGCGGCCACCCAAGCTTTCATGCGATGACGGCTTGATGACCGCTCCGTGTTATGCAAACGATTGCACATGATAAGAAACACATAGGATGAAGCGACGTCGATGTATTTCAGCAATTCGCTCGTACGAGTTGGCAGTGGACTGGCACTTGCCGAATAAAGACCAGAGCCAATGAAACAAGCAGGGCCAACGACGCTGAGAATCAGCGTATGCTTGCGTCGTGATGTGCGGTGTAGAGCGCAATTTTTGTGGTGCGGGGATGTGCGACTGCGATGAGGCCTCGATAGCTCAGTTGGGAGAGCGTCAGACTGAAGATCTGGAGGTCCCTGATTCGATCCCGGGTCGCGGCACCTTTGCACAACCCTGCCGCTTCCTTGATTCCTCCATGCTGCTCTAACCTTTTATGCTGTACCAGTAGCATGGTGCTTTACAGTGGACCAGTAGCATACAGTTAAAGTCCGGTAGGTGTGCGTACAGTATGCTTGAGAGGCCAACTGCTTTGAGGTCACATCTTTTTCAGGCCAACATTCAGCGTTCTTTGTCGGCGGCCACCCAAGCTTTCATGCGATGACGGCTTGATGACCGCTCCGTGTTATGCAAACGATTGCACATGATAAGAAACACATAGGATGAAGTGACGTCGATGTATTTCAGCAATTCGCTCGTACGAGTTGGCAGTGGACTGGCACTTGCCGAATAAAGGCCAGAACCAATGAAACAAGCAGGGCCAACGAGACTGTGAATCAGCGTATGCTTGCGTCGTGATGTGCGGTGTAGAGCGCAATTTTTGTGGTGCGGGGATGTGCGACTGCGATGAGGCCTCGGTAGCTCAGTTGGGAGAGCGTCAGACTGAAGATCTGAAGGTCCCTGATTCGATCCCGGGTCGCGGCACCTTTGCACAACCCTGCCGCTTCCTTCGTTCCTCCATCTTGTTCCAATCTATTATGCTGTACCAGTAGCATGGGGCTTTACAGTGGACCAGTAGCATACAGTTAAAGTCCGGTAGGTGTGCGTACAGTATGCTTGAGAGACCAACTGCTTTGAGGTCACATCTTTCTCAGGCCAACATTCAGCGTTCTTTGTCGGCGGCCAC